AAGATTTTTCTGCATTTTATTTCTATTCCTAATACAGCGTAAAATTCCAGGCGTGATCCAAGGTTTCATGACACGTTTGCTTTTGGGTACTTGAATTTCAGTAGTGTTATCTTGTAATGACTCGGTTATTTTGTTTATGAGCATTTCTATCACAAAATTGGGATTATCACAAAACAATATTTCTGAGAGGTTTTTATCAATTAAACTATTAAGTGCCTTTGTAAAATTAGTCCTTAATTTGGTATTTACAAATTTCTCTTTTATCTTTATATTTGACAAGGTTAACAATATCATAGAATGATCAGTGACAGGGGTGTTTAAAACGGCAATTTGAGCATCCTTTTTATTTCTTTCTAATTTAAGCATAAAATGATCTAAGCAATTAACACCTCTTGTTGGCAGGTAGTGACCAACGAGTAAGCCATGCATGCTCATCATATTAAGGTATTGAAACCTATTACTGCGCTCATAATTCTGCTCTATACTTTTAGGAATTATATTTATATTTAAATCACCAGTTACTACAATACGCTTATGTGATTTAATCGTTTCTAAGTGTAGGTTTAGAGAGTTGATAAAATTGTCAGCATTACTATTAGAGGGTGAGCGATATATACCTAAAATGGTAGTATCGTATCAATCTGTAAACATGAAGCGTGCTCAAGTTTTATTTCTTTGACATTTCCTTTAACACCTTTTCTCACATAAACGACCACTCCATCACTTTGATTGAGATGAAAATTGGTAGCGAAATATGAATAGTTTGTAATATTTGGGATTATTTTGTTGTCCGTAAGCCAACATTCTGTTAATACAATAATATCTGGATCAAAATTTAAGCGTGTGAGGGTTAGGTGTAGATCTTCAATATTACTGTAAACACTTCTAATATTTTGAGAAATAATTGTTAAATCACTATTTTTTACGCAAATATTTTTTGGTATATCCTCTACATCACAGGGAACAGCCTGTACTATTAGCTATTCATTCTCATAAAAGATATATATGCGAGTGTAACTTAGATCGAGTTTGAGAGGTCTGTCACAGTTTTTAAGTTGCCGGTAGACAATCAGTTCACGATTCATGATAAGTGCAAAAAAAGATTTCGGAGCTATTAATTTACGAGGATTAAAGTTTGCAAAATGAAATAAGTTATCAATTACGTTGAGTTGTATGTAAGTGTGTATGTATTTTAGATGAGTAGTTAGCAATACCATACTATAAGTATCGTGTATTATTTGTATGCAAAGTATGAAAGTAAGTGTGTATAGTGTAACACTGAGGTTTGTGTGACATGAAAATAAAGTATACAGAGAACATAATGAACATTTGTAGATACAAGAAATTTTTTTTTATTATTACGTTTTTATAGGAATATTTTACGGTTAACACTGAATCTAGTCATGGGTCCTGTTGGAGTTGTTGAATTTGTGCTTCAGATTTAATTATTATTATACGAGAGTTTTCGTCTCTTCTCACATAAACTTTACCATAAGATGTCCAACAGAATTTATATTTCTTGGATCTGACGAGGTCTCGGGCGAGGAAGTGTAGTCGAGAGCCTTTTGCTGTGAGCTGCTCTGAAACAAAGACGGGAGTATCTTCTTCTGTATGAAATCCCAGGTGCTTAGCAGATAGCTTAATCTTATGCTTGATATTAAAGGCCTTGCTCATTTTCAGTATTTCTGTTTTTAAAAGTGTTGAACATGTTTCTACGATAATTGGAGTATTACGTAAGTTATCCTGCTTTCCGCGCACCCTATAAATGTCCTTGATATCAGTCTTATTTAAGTTGCAACCAATGTTTTTCGATAAACATGTTACCATATTAATGAGGTCTTCTTTGGTTTCACCCGATTTTTTAGGTACGTTTTTAATTTCAAAATTAGTTTTACGGTTGTTCATTTGCAAGTCTTCAATTTTGTCCTGTAACAGAGTAATATAACTTCTGTCCTCTTTTATCTTGCTTTCTAAATGCTCTATTTTTTTCTGAAATTCTTCATTTTGCGCAGTTAAAAATGTGATTGAACTTTCAATGTTATTGTTTGATTGTTGAATATCTTTCAAAGTGAAGTAGACAGTTTTGGTGATTTTATAATATTATTTTATAATATTAAATCGAAATATTTTCGTAATTTAGGTTTTGCTATACACTAAAAGACTATATATTCCATTATAATAACGCTTAAAATAAAGTATTTAAGCTTATAATAATGGTTGTATTCAACCTGAAAGATAACTCTGATGCATATTTTCGTAAAACGCTGTGAAGGAATTGTCCTCGCCCTAAAAAACCGTCATTAACAACAATGATTTTGCATTGCTATGTACTAAATAAAGACTTCATCTTTCTAAAGCCCTAATTTTCAGAAAATAATCTCCTCACGTCGTTACGATATCGCCTTTGGAAAAACCATAAAACATGTAGTTTTCGACGCGAAACGCATATGCCCTCTTAAAGCCGATTCACAAAATAAGACAAACACAAAATTACGCACAGAAAGCTTGCGTAATGGCGGGATATTGAAATTACGTAGTAGTTTTTTCAGCGCGACCCTATATATGTATGAGTTTTTTGCCTACACAAATTTACGTTGACAATATAAAAAAAAAACTTGTTTTATTCATGATTCATGTGATTTAAGGAATTTTAAAAGAAAAAATTAAATTAAACAAATAATACATTAAAAAATTAATGACTCGATTATTTAAATATTTTTACCGATTATTTGAATATTTTTGCCGATTATTTGCATAAAAATGAATTTTAATCATTCAAACACTACGGTAATGTACATAGCGACATATCATTGAAATGACGTCAAGTAAAAAAAAAATAGCATAAAATGTTATTTTAAATAATGTGAGTACGCTTATGCAAAGCGGAATGATTAATGTGAAACGTCAAAAGGTATTTCTTAGATTTGGTTGACTATAGTAAATTGTAGTCAGCTTTTCTTTTTTACTCTATTGAGTAGATTGATAATGTCACGTCAAGGTAGAAAGGGGTAAGTAATATATGTTCGATTTTTTTTTATTGTGTGTTAAGAATATTAATTGTAAATAAAAAGTTTTTGTTCGAATTGAAAAATATGTATTATATAAAATAGATATCTTGATATAAATTTTCTCTGTTTCATAATGTAAAGATAATTCATCAAAATAACAATTTCATTGGTGTCGGCGGGAATCGAACCCAGGTTGCTCGCGTTTACGGCGAGCACTTCGTGAGTTACCATGGCTCATATCTTTTTTGTTTATATTTTATAATAACGTTACCTCCACACTAAGAATTTTTCCTAAGTATATCGTGATTGTAGTTAACATACGAACATAAATTTCACAAGGACAAACATCCAGACCCGGAACAATAATTTGTAGGTATACAAATTTTTGGTCCGGGCGGGAATCGAACCCGCGGCCCTAAGAGTTACACTCATTGCTTAACTACTCCGCCACGGAGCCGTCTAATATATCTTTTATAGTGATAAATATTTTCATTATAAATTACTTACTTAAATAGACGTATAAAATAATTAATAATTAAATAAATAATATCGTTTAACAAACTATCATTCATTGTGTCGTTTTCCATAGTGTGGCCAGTTAAAAAATCGGGAATTTGGTTTTAAAATCGGGCAAGTTACAATAGATACAAAAAACAGATTTTTTGTAGCCATTGTGGTCGCTTTTTTTTTATTAGTGAAAGAACTTTTCCACAAGACTTCTGCACTTTACTAAATGTACTTATCTAAATAGCAGCATGTAAGTTAGGTACTGTACTGATTACTAGTAATAGAATGAAATAATAAATGATCGTCGAATTAACGACATCGATGCATAGCTCAACCCGGCGACGGACATCAGGCAGTGACAAAAAAGGGAATTGATATCTGTATCCTTGCCATGCCAACACATTAAGCGCAAAGTTTAAAAGTTGGATGTTGCCTATTTGGCTCGAACTTGGTGGGAAAATATGAAATTGTCGAAGTAAACATATTTTAATGTAGTAACAGCTTACACAACAGATATATTCCATTTTGCTGTCAAAATGATCGTTGGAAATACAAACAAGATGGTTAGTAAAAATTCTAACCAGATTTTCAGACTCCTGAAAGTCGGGCCATCCCGAGCAAATCGGGACACTTGGCAACACTCATTTATGCTATCAGTGTGAATTAAACAAACTCGAGCGGTGTTTGGGAAGACTCGGTGCGTACTGAATCGGACTGCGTCTGCGCGTGATTTATATGTTTGATGATTTATAGTTTTTTTTTAAATGATCATAAAAATAATTGTTTAAATAAACGAGTAAATTTTTTTTTGGATATTTAACATTAGCTGTATTTTGATAAAATAGATAAATTTATATCCGAATACACGGAAAAAATGACGTTGAAGTGTACAGTTTTGGTGATTTTATAGTATTGTTTTTTAATATTAAATCGAAATATTTTCGTAATTTAGAGTTTGTAATGCACTAAAAGACTGTATATTTTATTATAATAATACTTAAAATAAAGTATTTTAGCTTATAATAATGGTTGTATTCGATCTGAAATATAGCTCTGACGATATTTTCGTAAAACACTATTTTCTACGCTCTAAAAAACCGTCATTAAAAACTATGATTTTGCGTTGTAGTGCACTAAAATAAAGACTTCATTTTTGTAAATCCGTAATTTTCTGCAAATAATCTGCTCACATCGTTACGATATCGCCCTTGAAAACACCCTAAAACATGAAGTTTTCGACCCAAATCGCATATAACTTTATCTTGAAGCCTTAAGCGTGAAGATCTACACCGGTTTGAAAAACAAGACGATCTCATAGAAGAACCTACTGGGAGTCTTAAGCTTTTTTTTTAAGTTTGTCACAGTTATTTTTACGGCAACTAAAACTTGCAAAAAAAAATAAGAACGTGCAAGTTTAGTATTTCTAGCAGTTGCTTAACCAAAGACTGATAATGAAGAATAGAAATCTAGATGCATTTGCATTACCTGCAGCTCTGCGGGATCCAACAGCTTGTCCTGCTGCAACGCACGCAACGTGTTTTTCTCCAGGCTGTCCTCCAGCTGCCGCACCACACGTAGCCGGTGCTTCAGTCGCAAATGCTCGATACATTCTCCGCTCACTGTCGCACCGAACGATCGATACGACTGGTACACCAACTCTTGGATTTTTATCGTCTGCAAGTTTAAAATTCTCTTTCTTATGTAGACACATATAAATATATAGACTTTTAATTTCAATTTTATTACTGCTTTTTCATTTACGTTTGTAAATTAAAAATTTGTGTGCGTTTTTCATAAGGATATCAGCAGAATATAATAGAATAACTCTAAGTTGGAAATTTGTTGCTACAATGAATTTATTAAAGAATTGTTACGAGCTTAGGGTTCGTGACAATAAAAAATGCTGATTGAATTACCAAAATTGACACTTTAATTACTGCACTCACTTTAGCTTTAGTTCACTTTATTCCGCTCCGAAGCTTCGCTTGTACCGCCAATTCAATACTCCCTTGGTCGCGATCCTAAACGCCTTTATATATAAACCTTTTCCATTGCAACATCCCGAATGTTCGAGCACATACAGGTCCCAATCGACTAGGGGTAGAAAGTTCTTTCCTAGTTCTGCCACTCGATACTAGATGGCGCTAGTGGGAAAGTTCTCGCATGACATTATCTAAAAAGCTCTCTTAACGCCTGCTACTCGATACTAGATGACGCTAGTGGCATTTACCAGCGTTATTTACAGTTTTCTTCATTCTGTTTATTTGGATATGTAACGCAAACATTTTCTTTTTTTGTGATAATATTGTAACCGACAACGAAGTTTTTTTGTAGAAGTTGTTTTGCTTTCTTCAAAATATTGTTAAGCTAAAAGTGAAGGAGGGCCGGTCTTGGATCATACGATCATTTCAATGATTGCAGTTACGCACTACTTTGTAAAAGATAAAAGTATGTCCAATAAAAATTATTTAATCTTTTTTCTTGTCCATATTCATTTCTTTTTATATAGTCTATATATCTATATAGTCTACTGTTGAACGTGGACCTCATTTTTCTTACTCAAGAATTTGCCTTAATAAAACCGCTTGAGAGGCGGATTGGCAACCGCAGTGCCAGACTTCTCGCATTCCCGCTCTGAATATTACACTCACGGGATTAAATGAGGTGATAGATTCTCTTGCGCCACCACCACACGGTAGGGCATCATATGATATCATCTGCATACACTTATGCAGATGATCATCTACATACATACATATACTCTTAAATTACTTCTAAATCTATTATCAAGGCCATAATGTAAGATTTATATGATTTAATTCATAAAAAATTAATCTTATTCTACCAGCACACGGTATTAGTTGGTTTCTTTCACTTATATAAGGCAAAAATAATTTTACCTTTGCAGCAGTACGAGGCTCGGTGGACAGGGCCATAGCCTCCTCGTTGTAAATGCCTGCAAGGTACTCGCTCAGAATCTGCATTGCTTGCCCTTCTTCAGTGGACTTTAGAAGCTTCTCGCGGTTTATGTCCAGAATTGTCAGAGTCACCTGAAATGAATAAAGGGAAAAATCTATCAAGTGCATACCGTGCACTTAACGTTCTACCAATGTGTTAACTATTGTTTCGTGGGAGTGAATAAAACGCATTAGGATGAGGAATTGTTCCTAGCAACTGTAGACAGCAATATTGAAGCATTGTTATCGAAAATGTTCCATAAAAGAAAGATTATACACGTACGTAATAACGTTATTCTTATCATATTTCTTTGAATTTATACCTTATTGCACGATTTTTTAAGGTTTTTCTCAGATATAACCTTGGAATTACAAATAAATGGATAATAATATTGTAGACACAACAATGTATTATAGATTTATGCAACATATTATAAATTAACATATTTATAAAACATGCTCCAACAAGCTTTGAATGGATGTCCTACACGAGTACGACATTCATTCAGTACTCTTCGTTGCTACGGTGACTCGTACAGGTTTATCATGAGTTTGCACAATGGTATGTTTTTTTCGTCATTAATCGCCATTTTATCGTAAGTGTAATGCAAAAAAAAAAAAAGGGGTAAAAAAAAAAAAATCCCCTTTTTTATTAAAAAAAAAAATTAATGAAAGAAAGTTATAATATAAAATAAAAAAATAAAAAAAAAAAAAAAAAAAATAAAAATAATAAAAAAAAAAAAATATATTTTAAAAAAAAAAAAAATATAAAAAAAAGAATTTTAAAAAATAAAAAAAAAAAAAAAAAAAAAAAAAAAAAACATTAATTACACACCGACATCGATTGTTCATACTTTTTTTATAGAATATAACTTTTGGATTTAAGTCGGGCGATCTGTGCAGGCCAATCCAAAACTTGAACTTCTCGGATAGCGCCCGACACCAGCCGCGCCGTATGGGAAGGAACATTATCGTGTATGAGTAGAAATTCCTGACCCAGTTGGATTCTGTATAGGACAATAACAGGCTCTACTATCTTCTCGTGGTATTTTTGTGCTGCCTTGGATCCAAACGAGCTGGGTTCGTTCGCCAAGACGAATTCCTGCCCACACCATGATTATCCCGCCTTGGTATGAATGGACCTCCTGAGGGTGCCGTAGACGGCTAACTCTCCCTGGAGTTCACCAAACGAGTGTTTTTCGTGAATCCGGATGAAACTCAAACCGGGACTAATCGGTGAACAGCACCAGAGACCATTGTTGGTCACTCCATGGTAAATACTCCCGAGCTCACTAAAGCCGCCGACCGCGACTGCCACGTCGTAATGCTGGAACACGTAGCGGTATATATATAAATATATATAATATAAAATAACAAAAACCCTGTTTCCCATTAAGTGCGGTATCAGAATCAGTATACACAATTTTTAAAAAAAAACATTTTTAAAAAATTAATTTTAATGAAAAAAAATTTATTTGCAAATAGTATGTGGTTTTATTTCCTGTAACTAACACGAGTATCGGTAAAGCGGGGTCTTTGATAATCCTCTTACTCCTCGGCCAATGCAGAGATAATAAAACCACCAACAATTTGCAAATAAATTTTTTTTCATTAAAATAATTTTTTTAAATGTTTTTTTGAAAAAAAAAATATTTCTTTACGCTTGGATACCGATTCTGATAACGCACTTAACGAGAACCACAGGGTTTTTGTTACATGTTGTATATATAAAAACTTTTTATGAACACTAAAAAGATTCTGTTGATGTGTTTATATGTGCCATTTTGTTTGATAACTTGTTGCCATATTTTAGGTAGTGAAATAATCCCGTTGCTGTGGAAATCTTGAGATATTTGATCAAAAAATGCGACAAGTAGTTTTGGCAGTCCTCTCTTAATGTTAACCAAACACTACTCAAAGAATTCTGAAAGATACCTAAACAGATGAAAATCTGAGTGTGCAAGGTCGGGACCATATAGTGGAAGCATTAACACTTCCCAACCGAGCTCTCTCAATTTTTTCTGAGTGGCCAAACGTGTGTGGTCTTACGTTATCATGATGAAACTCCACTCCTTCTTTGTTGATCAATTCCTGTCGTTTTTTCTCAATTTCTTGCTTGAGTCTCATTAGTTATTGGCAGTAGAGATCCGAACCGATGGTTTCGTCCGGCGGTTAAAGCTCATACATAATAAACGATGTCCTTCCAATCCCACCATACACACAACATCACCTTATTTCGTGTTAATCGGGGTTACGCTACAGTTTGTGGAGCTTGGCTACCCTTTGACCATGATCTTTTTCGCACTTTCTTGTCGTAGGTGATCCACTTTTCATCACCAGTGATCAAACTTTTCAAAAATGGTTCGGTTTTATTACGTTAAGTTTCAATTGAGAATCGTAAATGAGTGCACAATGTATTAAGTTTTCTTCAGTAAGCTACCAGTGGGTCCCTAATAACGAGCTTTTTTGTATAGCCAGACTTATTAAAATGAATCAAAAGTGTTTTTGGTCAATTCTCATTTCCTCGGCTACGTCTTATCTATTAATATGCTGACCTTGCTTCACTTTTTCAAAAAAGACATCGACTTTATGACTTTGTGTTAATCTTACTGACACTTTATTAGGTCCATAAATGTCAGAAATCGTCGTGGCTTGAGTTTGTAATAAAACTTTAGAAGGTACAAAATTTCTTCGTGAGATACGACACGACAGACTGTTCCCTCGAATCCTGCTCGAAGGACCAGAATGGTGTAGCGATTAACCAGATCCGAGGCGAAGGAACAGCAAGGGTAGCGCGCTAATAATTTGAGATGTTTTCGGCGAAAGGGGTTCTTGGGTTCGATTCCCCGGGTTGGACCTTGACCTTGTTATGCAAGATGTTACTATGTGGACTGTATGGCGGTTTTGGCGGACAGAAACACAATTGAAAATGGCGGAAAAGTTTTTTTATTTTTCATTTTTATTTTCCTTAATGTCCTATATGTATTGATATTAAAACCAGCCAGATAAAACAATACAACCAAAGAGATTTTTCTTCAATTTTGTACAAACAAAATACAAAGATACTTTCTTCCCGACCTATTATTATTTAAAGGATAAAAAACACGTGTGGTGTGATTAAAAAATTATTATATCAAAAAAATCTTTTTATTCTCTATTTGTAGACATAAACCGAATTATCCGTTTAATAGTAAACAATTCTTTTAAAAAAGCAAGCTTTTATTACTTGTTAATAAAAAGGTACTACAAAATTAAAAAAATTATAACTCTTGTTAATTATTATGCTATTATTTGGTGCCTATATAAATAATATAAAATTTATCACTATGAAATGGTTTCAAGCAACTTTTCTATTAATTTGTGCTACCAGTTTCTCGACACCACAGAGTCAGTAATTCATTCTTGGGGAAATGTATACGCTATTAAAATAAAGTCCCAGAAGGTCTCCCTATTACCAAGTTTAAATTTAATTAAACGAAAAATATATAAAAAGGCTTATTATGATATAAATGAATAAATGGTTGATAATAACCTCTGGGAATGAGGTGGTCGCTTCCAAGCTGGTTCTAAAATAAATTTTGTAAATATTCTGTGACTGTTGACATTGTAAAATTTATTTAAAAAAAGTCCCGCTGGGTTTCTTATTAATTATTCCCAGGACAGAGGTTTTTTTTCAAACCAGTGGTAACAACAAATATTCACTTTCAATAAGAATTACTTGTAATCTATATTGAATAAAAAATTATTTTATTTTATTTTAATAATTTAAGATTTAGGTTGCAACAAACAAACCTGGAAAATTACTTTGGCACCATCGTAAAAGAAGCAGTCCATTACATTAACAGCGCACTCGTAAGGCATGACGCTGATGAAGAGCGTCAAGAACCAGGATAAGGAGATCAATTTCATCATACCCAATTCATTCAACTTCGCATGCAGCTCAGGCAAATGTGTTTTGGTCAAGTCATCGAATACGCCTTGATCCACCTGTAATTTTCACATATTTTTTTATTCTTGTTATTATAATGATTTCTTATATTTACGCGAACACTATACATGATTAAAACTACTTTTTACGGATTTTATCGCGTTTATTTTTACTTTTTATTTACTTTTATTTTTAATTCCCGACGTTTCGGGCGCTTTCCAGCACCCATGGTCACGGGGGACTGAGATGACTGACGTCCCGATGTCATTGTTAAACCCGGAGCACCTTCAGCTTTTTTAATTATTGTTTATGGTCCGATCTATGCAAAATGAACTGACTATGTCCTGAGGTCTTGCAGTGGTATGCTTGGGTTTAGTTTTAATTTTATTGATTATAGGATCCCAAGCAGGTGGTAGTACCCAGCCTCCTTCTCTATTGAAATTAGGATGTTTTTTAATTTCAATAGCCTCACGTATCATCCTTGGTAGGAATCGGTGTTCTTTCGCGAGGATTTGTGGTGTATCAAATCTGATGTAATGGTTGGATCCGTCTAGGATATGATCACAATGGCTGATGTGAAGCATCAACGTTCTGGGAAGTCTGCAGTTTAGAACATCTTTTAAGATACGTAAAAGGAACTTTAAATTTAAAATTAACGTATAAAAGATGCAACTTTAATCAAATGGTTATTGGATATGCAGACTCTGATTAGGGAGGCGATGAATCGGACAGAAAAAGTACAACCGGATATTTGTTTAAAGTATTTGATAATTGTACTGTTTCATAGAACACACGAAATCAAAACCCTGTCGCCGTCTCGTCAACAGAATATAATATAATATGCTGAAACTGAGTATAATATGGCTTTATTTGAAGCTGTGAAAGAAGTAGTATGGATAAAGTCATTGCTTAGAAGTATTATGCCTGTAATAAATAAGCCTATAGTTATCTATGAAGATACGAGGGCTGCACTAAAAGTATCGGGAATGGAATATTTCCACTGTTCCTGTCATATTAAAATCTTTTTAATTGAAAACTCCTTGGTTTTAAAAATCGAATACCATTTATTTATTTAAAAAAAAGATTCTCGGTCTTGTCACAAGGTTTTGTCAAACTTGTTTAGTCGTTGAGAAAATGGAATTGACTCGAGATAATTCAAGAGCGATGATTTATTATGGACTTTCGAAGTGGTTTAACACAAAAACAGTGTGTTGACCGGATGATTTCTGCATTTGGTGATGAAGCCCCATCCAAAACCACAATTTATCGCTGGTTTGCTGAATTGCAACGTGGACGTGTCAAGCTCAGTGATGATCCCCGTCAAGGTCGTCCAAAAACTGCAGTCACCCAAGATAACGTTGATGCTGTGCGTAAGCTGATTGAGAAAGATCGACATGTGACATACCGCGAAATTCAGGCAACTTTAGACATTGGCATGAGTCAAATAAAAATAATCTTGCATGAACAATTAGGTGTAAAAAAGTTGTTTTCCCGATGGATACCGCATTCGCTCTGTGAAGAGCAAAAAGCGGCTCGCGTTACTTGGTTTGTCAGAACTCTCGAAAGATTCCACGCAGGATCCTCAAATGCTGTATACAACATCGTATCAGGTTACGAATTCTGGATATACGCGTACGAACCCGAAACAAAAAACCAGTCACGAGTTTGGGTGTTCGAAAATGAGTTAAAGCCAACAAAAATTGTTCGTTCACGGAGTGTTGCAAAAAAAATGGTGGCCACGTTTGTCTCCAAAACCGGCCATGTTACGACTATTCCTATTGAGGGACAAAGAACGGTTAATGCAGAATGGTATGCTAGCATTTGTTTGCCACAGGTCGTTTCTGAACTCCGTAAAAAGAACTGCAACCGCCGCATCATCCTCCATCACAACATTTCGAGTTCTCACACCGCACACAGAACAAAAGAGTTTTTAGAGCAAGAAAACATAGAATTATTAGACCATCCGCCGTACAGCCCCGACCTAAGCCCTAATGATTTCTATACTTTCCCTAAAATAAAGAATAAATTGAGTGGACAGAGATTTTCATCACCTGAAGAAGCTGTGGACGCCTACAAAACGGCCATTTTGGAGACCCCAACTTTCCAATGGAATGGTTGCTTCAATGATTGGTTCCATCGTATGGAAAAATGTGTCAAATTTTGCAGAGAATACTTTGAAAAGCAATAAATACATTTTTAAATAGTAATGTTGTGTCACTTCCTTGATTCCCGAAATTTTCAGTGCCGCTCTCGTAATACTAGCTGCATTTCCATCGCTAATAATCCCGCTAACCATAAGAAATCCAAACATATAGATATTAAGTATCATTTCACAAGGGAACAAATAACTAATAAGATAATAAAGTTAGAATATGTTTCCACAGGAAATCAACTGGCTGATATATGTACTAAAGTTGTACCAGCTGCTAAGTTCCTAGCAGTAAGACAAAAATTTAATTTGTTTTAATTATGATCATGTTTTGTAAATTACATATCGTACGTGATTTAACATAAATGCAATTAAACGAATTGCATTGTTCATAAAATAGACTCGTATTTTTGAATGGGACTGTTGGCATATACAAAAATACTAGTCAACATAAAGTCCCTTTAATAACGGATGTAGTCAAAACAAGTCTATTAATTATTTCTTTGTTAAACGATAAACTTCGTGTTGGCATTCTAATACAAAATTTCGTACAGTACACACAGACTTTCTTTTACTTTTCTGTTATGGGTAACCATATTCCAACACAGTCTATCCGTGTTCTTAATTCCTCCCTCACCCTCCACCATCAGAAAACCAGACGCCCTGCCAGTCTCTACTCTCTACGCTTTTGAACCAAACAATTTGCTTCGTCATTAGTAAAGTGTATAGAAAAGAAGTGGAATATTTTTTCGACAAAAACCAACCAACAATGTATAAAACAGTGAATAGGATAGTCGAGCACTTGCTTATAATAGGTAGTTAAAAAAGAGAGTGCTGCTGCTTCAAACGCGTTGTCACATCTGAAGTCTAAAATCTAAAACCTTAGTTTCTAATTATACTTCTCTCTCTCTCTCTCTCTTTTATAATTACAATAAATATAAGGGCAGCCCACTTGATAGTAAGTGGATGCTGTGGCCCATAGACAGCTATATCTATCCTCCAATGAAGAATATATACATTAAGAATTATTTATTTCGAATTAAAAAATTAAGAATCAAAATGCAGATGCGCCGTTACCTCTGAGGACTAAGATGGAATGCCTCATATCCAGTAAATAGAGTTTCCGGTTCTCTACACTCACCGTACGAAACACAGCAGCATTGAGCTGGTATTTTACTTTGGTATTCTATGAGAGCATGGTCCTTCCCCGGTCGAGCCGATCCATTCGTGCTACAACCATAATTAATGTAGCTTTAGCGTGGCTCTACCACATATAAAATCTCTCTCTCCCTATCTCTCTCTCTCCTTCCCTCGCTCATACACACTTTTTATATCTGTCTCATACCAGATATTCTATTGAGTATACGACAGTACTTAGCGACGTGTATGAGAATAGTCACATAGTCTAGAAAACATTCGCTATTACATAGTAATTTGTCAATTGTGTTGTAATATACTCTGAAAAGGAATTAATAGGCAAATAATAATAATAAATATTGTTCACAAAAATATGGTACAAAGATGTTTGTACAATATTATTACAATAGAATATGTAGTTATAGTAGAATGAATATAACAATGAACTAAAATCAAACATGCATTAAAAGAGATTGTCTATGAATATATAAACAAAAAAGTTCTGTTTCATAAAATCTATTACAACAATTAGCTTTATTAATTAATAGTGAATATGGAGATTAGAGCACTAAGGGTTTCTTACTTGGATTCTACCGCGTTTCATTAGCTTGTTTTTATATTCCCAATGTTTCGAGTACTTTACAGCACCCATGGCCACGGTTGTGGTGAGCAGGTTGAGCTGGCCGAGGTGGTTCAACATCCCTTTACTTCAACCTTACTAAGCTACTTAAACTTTGAAATTACTTAATAGGCTACATTCAACTTAAAATAAACACCTTTAAGGTTCTATTAAAAATTAAATCCAACACTTACCAAAGCGCCCACAACCCTTGTATTATAATAGTCAGGCAATAGAGTTTCACATATAGTTGCCAGCAGCCAAAAAGCTTGTTCTTCAGGGCAGTAGATAAGCAAGACCGAAGCGACAATGTTCATCGCCTGACAATATCCGATCGTAGGGTTTTTAAGCGCATATGCGCAAAGTACACGCCTTAATGCCGAAATACCTGGAACATCAATTAAATGCATAAAAAAATTACACTTTACGGTTTACTTAGACCACTGACCTCTATATATACAAGTACGCTGGACTGGCTATACCATACAAAATGACTGTGCCAATTTGAAGCGCCGCTAAAGGATGTCTTGAAAAATAAAATTGACATATTATGCCAAAGTATGTTGTCTTATTCATATTGTCATATTTAATAAGTCTGTAATTTGAACTTTTAAACTAAAAAAACGAAAGTATTTTATGTTGTTTGATTGTGTATAATATTAGTTACATAATAAAAATTATTTTCATTAATAATGAGAGGGTGATTAATCTGTAAAACTGGTTACCAAAAGGGAAGTGGTATAACATTTCACAAGTAAGTGAATTTGCAGTAAATATTAAACAAATTAAAACTATTTGATAATATAAGTACTTCGAAATTTGTTACTAATCTTAATATCATATATAGCAACATGTTTAGCTGTATATTACAGAGTTTTGATAAACAATAAAATTCAATAGGGTTGTCGAGTTCCTTGTCTATAATACTTATCGATGTTCTTTCCTACCCATATCTGTTAACAAACAAAGTCACAAACAACAGATGATTATCAAATGTTTATTAATTAACTGGTTTCCTTCCAACTGAACATAGACTAAAATTATGGCTTAAAATCATAAATATTGTGGATACGGTATTAACGTCAATGTCGTGTACGTCACTCACCTTCGATTTGCCGGCAATATAGTACTTATGGCACAATCGCTGGAGGACCTACGCACTATGTTCAATGACCTCAATAGTGTCTCCCAACGGATAGTTCTTAAGATGAACATGGACAAAACAAAAGTCATGTGTAATGTCCATGTCACACCTATGCCTGTGGTTTTTGGGAGCACTTAGCTGAAGTTGTTGATGAGTATTTTTACTGGGACAAAGAGTCCGACTAGGTAGGTCCGTCGATTGACCTGTCGGTCGAAGTTCAACTTGTTCAGCTCAATCGACGGATTCAACTCGGCTGGGCAGCGTTCGGGAGATTACAACACATCTTCTCGTCAGGAATACCTCAAAACTAGATTGTACAACCAATGCGTGGTGCCAGTGATGAAATATGAATCTTAGACGAGGTCTTTCACTGCTGGCCGTATGAGGAAGCTCAAAGTCGCTCAACAAACTATGAAGAGGGCTATACTCAGGGGTTCAAACTTAGGAATGAGGATATCTGCAGCAGAACCAGAGTGACTGACATCGCCTAATGGATTAGTTAGCTGAAGTGGCAATTGACCGGCCATATAGCTCGAAGAACCGAATACCGATGGGGAAAAAAGGTTATCGAGTGGCAGCCTCGTACTGGCAAGTGAAGTGTAGGACGTTCCCCCACTAGATGGAGTCAAAACCTGGTTAGACATGCAGGAAGTTGATGGATGCAGGTAGCTCAGGACCGTGCTTTGTGGCATTCCTTGGGGGAGGCCTATGTTCAGCAGTGGATTTGTGAAGGGTTTTAATGATGAATGATAATGGCACTATATTAATATGATAAATAAATAGAAAGGACATTACGGGTAGAGTCCATCTATCCATAGAGTCCATTCTATTTATTTAGGTATAGGTAGGGTATAGAATTTTTTATCGATATAATTTGGTACACTGTCTTATCCCTAGTATTAGTTCCGTGGACGTGCACTTCTGATGTCAGCGCTAAAATGGCGGAAATCAAATCGGTTCATCATGTCACGGTGTATAGCCAGTCCAGCGTACTTGTATATATAGAGGTCAGTGACTTAGAAAGACTCGTTGTTTTTAAGAGAATGTAATTCACTTAATAGATTTTTAAAGACTGTGATAAGAGAGATATTTTTGTACTAGCGGTAATTCTATTCGTAAATTTATAACATCTATATTTAGTAACTGTGAAATCTAAAATATGTGTATGAGTGGTAAATTGCAACTTGTTATATTTTTTTTTATAGAATAGGGTTACAAACGAGCACACAGTCCACCTGATGGTAAGTGGCTGCTGCGGCCCAGAGACATCTACATCTATCCTCCATTAAAAATCAAAATGCAGATGCGTTGTCATCCGTGAGGACTGAGATGGAATGCCTCGTTTCCAGTAAAAAGGGTCTCCGGTTCTCTACACTCATTATACGAAATACAGCAGCATTAAGCTACTATTTCACGCTGGTATTCTGTGAGAGCGTGGTCCTTCCCCGGTCGAGCCGACCCATTCGTGCTACAACTATACTACTAATATAACTGCAGCATGGCTCTACCACGCATAAATTTAACATACAGTAAATATTGTTTATATTTACTGTATGTTAAATTTAAATCTTATGTACGGTATACAGCAGGGTACAGGGCTCCTCATTTTTGAGAGGAGTTTTTTTACACTGTATGTATTTACCAAAATCCATAAACAATTTGTGAAAACTTTATAGGCTTATTTTGTGACTAACCAGTTATGTTTCCATATTATATTGTTAATGATTAGCTGTTAGTTTTACTGTTATATATAAATCAATATACCATACCAAAGTGCACTCACCAACGTCGTTTTGAAACGCGGGATGTTCAGGCAGCGACCTGTGGAGGTCTCTTTCGATCTCATCATTGGCCTGATTCCGTGAAGACAATGCCTCATTAACCAATTTCGCATATAAGCCTTTATTCTGCGCCTTTTGCAGAATCGAACCCGAAAACACGCTCCACAACTCGCCCCGTAAAGATTCCGGTATACCGTTAACCACCAGCTCGCTTCCCGCAATGGTTTGGTACATGCTGACTCCGCGTCCTACTTCTGACATGTGATCTTCCCATTGTTTTTCCTGAAAAAGTATTTTAAGTCCATTTACAACTCTTTTAAATAAATCTATAATAGATATAGTAAGCCGTGGTAGCTCAGATGGTTAACACTCGCTTATTACAAAACAACAACTTATTATAACAAAAGAAACATGCACTTGTGGGTGAAAAATGTAAGTTCTATCCAAATCAGATAAATCTTACTACATTTCTTACATGAGTTTATCATTTTTCCTCCACCACATTCTCATCAGGCCGTAAGCAGTTTAATATTCGACATGGCCATTGTAGAGGGTCTGTCGCAAGAGAAAAAAAAAATATTCGCCACACACAAGCTTAAGTTGCCTCGTACGACACCTACGTGACTTTTTTATAGAATAAGTTGACAAACGAGCATAGAGTCCACCCGATGGAAAGTGGATACTGTGGGCCATAAACATCTACATCTATCCTCGATTAAGAATCAAAATGTAGATTCGTTCCCACCCCTGAAGACTAAGACGGAACGCTCCGTTTCTAGTAAGACGGGTCTCCGGTTCTCTACAGTTACCATATGAAACACAGCAGCATTGAACTGATATTCCCCGGTCGAGCGATCGGCTCGAAGTCGGTCGTCATTCGTGGTAGAACCATTATATGCAACATCATGGCTCTACCACGTAAGATTTCTCCTGTGCCGCGCAATATTCACGACAGAGATTTGCGTAAAAATAAAACAATTAAACAATTACCCTTTTCACAATGCCTACCTTTTTCTGCTGTATCTGCTTTATAGTAGCGGTCTGATGAGTCTTGAAGAGTGTCATTAGTGGCGGCTGGGGCGTCCAATCAGTTCCCTCGTCTCTTCTGTCCAACGCTCGGTTAGCTTTCTCCCTGTATACATCACTGTCCATTCACGCAATTAAAACAATGATATATGGGGTAAATAATATGCCATTTGTTAGTTGCCCCATGTTCTATGGAATTATACTTAGATGTAACGATAGGAAACTAAGCAATATTATTTATCAATGTAAAGAAGCACCAAGAAACAGAATGTTTAAGGACATCTATAAAATTTTATCGAACATAAGCTTTTGTATAATAAAAGTAACTTTTTTATTGTTGTTAATAGTTTTTGTTTGTTTTAACGACATTGAATAAAATTGCATAATATTACGGATTACGGTTAAGGTGAAGATATCCGACGTTATAAGATTTACGCGCTCCGTTTTCCGCTGCATGCATATTTGTTCAGTACGAAGTAAGCGTGCAACATTCCGTGGACAAAAAAATTACTTTATTTGAATCGTTATCAGGTTATAAAGGATCTTAATAAAAATGTAGCCGATTAAGAATCTAATACAACAACAACATGACTTTCATATTGTTGAGAAATGTTATATGGATGTCACTGAGAAAAACAAAAACTCGAACGTGAGTTTTTCCCGGAGATTAAATTATAGTTAATATAATCCACTAAGTACCTGGATGACCGAGCTTTCCTCGTTTTTTTTTTTGGAAATCGTGTGTTTTGGAAATTATATTTAGATACAAATTACATATTGATGAAAAATGAATAATATTTTTTGATCTTATTGACATAATAGAAAAAACTGAACTGGACTAAGAAGTATCAATTCTCGAGTGTCAAGATCGTGATTTTTTTTTGTCAAACCTGGTCTTAATTTGCGTTCAATTTTACTTGTTTTAACTCCTGACAATTCGAGTGCTCTGTAGAAATAAAAGTAATTTTATTCAATGTTAATTTCACGTAAATATAAGCCATTATCGTTTTAACGACTTTCAAATTTTTATATTGTTACCTATGTACATATTAATACACATTTTACATTTAATTTATATTTCTTTAATTGAAGTGAAAGCTATCTCGGTCAGTGTAGTTTACCCTTACTACAATCGTTCGTTAAATTTTATCCTTAAAGCATGGTATTAGCACAATTGATGGACATATGGAATAAATAAAATTGAAGTTCTTGTCCTTAATACCGAAATAATTACCTTATATGGAGGTAAGGGTGTGATTTGCAAGTCATTAAGACATGTATCATCATTTTTAAAAGTTTAGTTTGTTTGTCTGTCCGGCCACTTTTAATGAAACTTCACGAAGAGATACGGCAAATTTATAAAATATACGGCCTTTGTTTAACTTAAATAAAACACGCCACATTAATACACATTAATAATGTCCTCCAGACCGAATTTCGGCCACGCCGGCCAGCCTCAACGGAGGCTAGCCATCGGCGCAGGACAGGATTATAGTGGCCAAGTGTATGCGCAAGCACAGGTGCACTCTCTATTCCCTCACTCTCATAATCCGATGGGACGGTAAACCGACACGACGGGAGAGAGATCAGGCGCAGGACCAACAGCTTTACGTGCTTACCTGACTCCGGGCAGCTACTGAGAATTTCTTGACGGAAAACTCAATAATTGATTTTTTGGCCCGACCCGGGATTCAAACCCAGGACCTCATGATCAGCAGTCGCACTACTACAACCACTAGACCAACGATGCAGTCAACACACACTAATACAATACACATTAATACAGTGTTTAGAGAATAAACAAAGTTGTAAGTTCGTAACAGCCATTAAATCGTTATTAATTCTACTTGCATACGTGTTTAAGTTAAACGAGAATTTTAGTACCATAGTTTATTGTTAATACAAATAAAATATAAATATAATAAGCTATTAACATAAAGAACTTTTAATGAGTGAATCGGACTATCTATAGAATATAAATTTAGAGTTGTCTCTTGCTTATGGTTAAGGATTTTATATTTATTGACTACTAGCGTTTCGCCCCGGCTTCGCTCGGGTGATTTCTGGATCTCGACAACAGCGCCACCTACCGGGTCCAATTAATCCAAACCATCCAGGGACTCTCTCAAACACACAAAAAATTCATCAAAATCAGTCGAGCATTTTCGTGTTTTAGCGAAACCAGCGGACAGCAATTAATTTTTATAATCACAAAATAATGCATTATATAATTAAATTATGAATAACATAAACTAAAAACTTTCGTTATCAATGTAACGCCTAGTATATAGTATTATGCCTGCGTCATTTTATTGATAATGGTTGTTAATAAGTACTAATAAAAACGTCACATACACATATCACTTAATCAGTTAGTTTACTTATGTTAATAGTACCTTTGGAAAATAACATTAGTAAATTATGACCATCTTTCAAAGATTCATAGCTAATACATACAAAATATTAATTATTAGTAAAAAGGCAAGTTAATACTAAAATATATATTGCGTATGAAAATACTATTTTCAATACACTGCAAAAAATTACCTTTATATTATTTTAAAAATTTAATTTTTTTTAAAATCGAAATTCTTAATGCAATCAAACTACTTCTTCGCCTAAACCCTGCCAAAACATTTAACCCTGCCAAAATCAATAAATATAATTCAAATGAACCATTATGATTAAGGGTTAAAATTAAGCCTGGCGTCGACTACAGTAGAAACGCGTCGAATCGAAGCGAATCGCAATTATTCCTAGTGAGTCCATCTCTGATGAATCGAATCGAATCGTTCATTCATCGCATACTCTTCATCAAATTAGATCGTTTTTGCGTCATGGACAGCTCATATGAAGAGATATGAGATTTATTTAAAATACTTTTTGATGAAGCAGAGGAGAATAGAAAAAGGAAACTGCGTGCTCCCAAATACTACATTTATATGAAAAGAAATAACTATGGCGAATTTCAACATTTATATACAGATTTGAAAAGGGATCCTCTCAAATTTTTCAATACTTTCGTTTATCCTATGAAAAAGTGCTTTATTCATTTTTATTTAAACAAAAATGATTTTTATGAAAACTAAATAGAAATTAATAAAAATACGTCGGCGCGCATCTACTTTTCCGCGTCGACTGAGGCGCGCCGAATCGAATCGAATCTCATCGGCGAAGAAATTCGCCTGTCAAGCAATTCGCGCGGTCGATTCAATTCGGCGCGCCGCGGTTCGATGCTAATGGACGCAGTTTCATAGTAAATATACAGGAGGCTACTTTCTGTGATTCGATTTGACTTGGCTCGGCGAGCCTAGTTGACGCTGGCCCTATAAACAGGACTTCACTTATCGAATAGGCAATACTTGTGAACATGCATAATGGGCAAAGCAAATTTTCGCCAAAATTAAAATCATCTTACTTAGGCAACTTGGCGAGCAGTTCAGATATCTTGTGAACGAGGAAGTCACGGTCGGATATATTGCCGAAGAGAAAACTTGTGTGGTGTGCGGTGGTAATGAGTATACTGCCAGCATCTCCAGAACTGCCGGCGCCACCTGAATTCGCGCGTTCAACTTGATGCACATTACGAAGTGGAATCGTCAATCTAACAAGATGTTGCACCTGATAAAAGAAAACAGTCAGTTGAATAAAATATTTAATGATTAAAACGGTCAAAACTTAATTTGCTAAGATCCGTGTTATAAAATAAGAATGCTTCCGGTAGGAGCCGAAACACGTGTCGTATTATCGACGGTGGTATGTCTTTCCTTCTGTAGAGTGGTGGTGGGATTAGTGGTGATGGGGATAGTGCACGCAATTGAGGGAGGGCGGGAGGTGCTCTTCAAACTAGGTAAGACACATCATTTCATTTTATTACGCGGATCTTAGCAAATTAATTTTTAACAACTTATATATAAAGGATTTCCGCAAAGTAACGCCTGATTCTTATGTAATGATTGATGATAGAACAACAATAAAATGAATTTCTTTACATATTTTATACTATATTTAACATTGCTAGGTTTTACATGATCACAAAATCACAAAAGTTTGTAACTCTTACATTATGTTATGCTTACATATTGTCATAGAATAATTAATTCTATATAAAGTTTGTTCTTGACAAACAAACCTACAAACCTCTAACATGGTAGAGTCATGCTGCACCATATTTTGTTTGCAACTAATTTAAGTGTCAACGGACTTACTCGACGTATTTAAACAATATAAAAACATTGTTCAAACATGTCAACATATCTTTTATAATTAAAATGTCAATGCTTATGAAATAATAATATTTTTTAGCAATGACGATAAAGTAGGTGTTAGAAAAAATTACCTTAAGTTAATCATGTTCCAAAAACAGTAAAAAAATTATAACACATAAATTTATATGTGTGTTTATATATTTATTTATATATGTGTTGATGTAATTAAAAAAGTAGGTAATGCCAAACCATAGAATTTTGCTACGGTAAAACTGTAATATTCCTACATACCTAAATATAATCTTTTTATATTTAGGTACATAGGAAACACAATAAAGTCTTAATAAATAAGTGGAGAAATAAATATAAGATAGTTATTGTAGCAAACAGTATGTTTTCAAACATTTTAGTCAAGCAAACAAAATAAGAAGCTAAGACAATTACGTAATGCTTAAGCTCGTCTTAATAATTCATGATAACAGATTAATGACCCGAGTTGTAAATGCGGCACGTCAGGCACATCTGACTTGTCATGACTCGTAAACACAAAAGTGAGATAATGGAGGTTGAATAACAAATGAATGATATGTGTCAAGAACGAATTTTAACATACTAATTCATCATTGCGTATTAAATGCAACTAAGTATTAACAACAGAAATAAAACATGTTATTTTAAATAAACATTTATTTTCGAATAAACTGTTTAAACAATGCAGGGGTTTCTTACAGAATTAGGGTGACAAGCGAGCACATAGTCCACCTGATGGTAAGTTGATGCTGAGGCCCATAAACACCTTAATCTATTGCCTCAGTTAGGAATCAAATGTAGATGAGTTATCATCTCCGAGGACATTAATAGAATGTCTCATGACCAGTTTTTACCAGTAAAAAGGGTCCCCATAGTAAGCTTGATACTATAACTTGATATATAAAATTTAGCAGAATTACTACAAAAACGACAATATGGTTAGGTTTTATTCTCAATGGAGATATAAAATGTTACTGTAGAGGTAGATTTTAGCATCTATCTTCTCTAAGGGAATAGAGATAGCAATCACTGAAAAATGTTTCAATCACTTTAAAAATAACATTTTTAAAAGTTACTTGTTCCATCATCATTTTCAACATAACACCATAACCCTTCACAAGACCCCTCTTGAAGATAGGCCTCCCCAAGAAATGCCCTTCATCGACTTCTTGCATATTTTCAGTTTGCCATTTAGTGGGGGGCTGTTTTAAATTTTGTTTATCAGTGTGAGATGGTAAGCGGATACTATGACCCATAAACATCTACACCATCAATTAAGTATCAAAATGCAGAGGTGTCACCATAAGATGGAATGTCTCATAACACTGGTAATGAGTGTAAGTAAATAGTGGGTAGAACCAGAGACCCCTTTGGTTCTCCACACTCACCATAGAAAACAAAGCACTATTCTGTCGTTTCAGATTGATACTCAGTGCGGTTCTACCCCAGTAAAGCCATATAACTAGCAGAAGAAATACCAATTGGAGAATTAATCGCAACTCCTGACGACATTAAAAAACTTATTCTAAGCAAGCAGTTTTTCTATTAGAAAAGCGGTATGAGAGCAGCAGCAGCAGCTTTGGAACATATCGTTATCTTGTGTTACTCAAAGAAATAATTATTGCAGAAGTTATGTGAAATCGAAAAAATAAAAAAAAACATACTCACTCTGCTATCAAAGCATATAAAATTTTGTGATAAATATAATCTGCCCCAATTGTATCTTTTATTGTAAGGCGTCCACAGTGTACACTCTTCACTACCATCAAGCTTTTCAGTGTGAGGTAAACGAAAACGTAAGGTATACAGGTTTGATTGTTTTCTTGCATCTAAGTCTCGCTTTAAGAAAGATGCTTTTTTTGGAACATTTTTACTTAACTTTGTCAAAAGATCTTTATCTATATTGAAACTCCCAGACTTGTCATCAATTAACCTGAAATAAAAAAATGAAATGTAAAATATTAACGGATATTTTTAACTTTCTTTTTGAAAATTCTTGTGAAGTGTGATACAATATATTTTCAATATATTAGTGTTAGTACATTTGTGAACTTTTCCTCCTACATATCTCAAGAAGAAATGATATTTTCTTTAAACTAATTTCAATTGATACTTAATTGCATAATACATGTCAAATCAAGTTGCCATTAAATCTAATAATACAGGTTTTTTTTAAAGGAAAATTAAAGTTAAATTATTTACCAAATAAAACTGAAAGTCTCCCTGTGACTATGGAATGTCGGGAATATGAAATAAGTTAATATTATGTGATAAATTCTGTAAAAACTAATTTTAATGTGTGTAGTAATTGCGTAAATATAAGAAATTATTAGTCACCAAATGGTAGTTGATAGTAAGGGCATGCCAAATTTGACTAACAATCAGTTTTTATTTTACCTACCAAACTTTAATGACATACATAATATTTATATTAATTTTATCAAGTTTTACTAACTTTTAATTAATAAGTAACTAAGAAGTAACCCCTAGGAATAAGGTGATCGCTACCAAGCTATTTCTAATTTATTTTGTGTCGTTAACTTTGTAAAGTCATATGGATAAAGAATGGAATTAGAAATAGTGGCTCATCGAGCTCGTACAGTCAACATTCATGGTACTAATAGCGGGAACCAGATGATAACAATAACATTATACTATTTGTTCGTGAAGTTTTATTACAAATAGTTCAGCCTTTCCGAAGATTATCTCAGACAGGCAGACAAACGAAAATTTCAAAAGTGGTTACTCATGTCTAGATAGCATGAGCATGAGCAACAATAATTATGAAGAAAACTCTCAGAATGCGTAGTAGCTAACAAATTAGCGAAACCGGATTTTTTTATAGTTATTGGCATTTTGTTACTGTTGATTCCAATCAACACTGACGAAAAACGCATATCGCAACATATTATTTTTTGCACTTCTTACCGGCAGGTTTTAAGTATATATAGCTACAGTTTGCAAGCGGGAAATCAATAAAGGCGACGCCATTTTTATTCCTATTTTTTAACCGCACAGATAGTAACATAAATATATATTGGGAATTCTTTTTTTTAAATCTCACTGGGTTTCCTGTATTTTCGTTCTTCCCACTTATTATTACTTCGGCGATTATTTAAGTTATATATATTATCATGTTAAGAATTGCTTCATTATAAGGCCCTGTACATAATGATGATGTTTATTGAGGCTACTTAAATATGTGTATGTATATAACCAAAGTGTATATAATCAAAGATCCTAAATAGACCATTCTACTTACTGTTTCATAGCAATATTAGCCAACTGTTGCATAAGTGCAAATGTCTCATTCTTCTTTATAAACATTGTGAAATAATGCTCTCCATCTCTCGTAACAACTTTAATTGAGTCTGGAAACAGTATGCTATTTGTCTTTGCTAACTCTGTGACATCAGCCCACCTTATTTTGACTGTTGTCTTCTTCCCAAAAATATATGAGTAAAAACACATGTAATGGACTGATAGATATATCCATCCTTGGCGTGGCATTTTACCCTTCCAGTAACTGTTCAATAAAAATATAAAAATTAGCAAAAAGCAAGTAAGGTCTTTATTGGATAATGGAAATGTTTGAATGAATTCCAGTCATCAAATTCCACCATCGCACATTGTGTCAAACTCACGATAGCATCCACACCATCATTACATCATAGGAGTTTGCATCATTGCATTTTTTCGGAATTGAAGTGACTATGTTGGGCGATTTTTCCAGATGCTTACGACTTAAGGACTCTCAAGAAACAGGTTTACTCTTTTTTCCTGGTGTTACAGTCTTTCTTGAGTAGTGGTTGACAGTTAACATCGGGTGATCCACATACACATTTGCCAGCTTATACATACTATTATATTTTTATATCTATTAAAGTAATGAAAAAAAAAGAAGAAATGAAAAGACAAATGATAGTAAATAGCCACTGTAGCCTATATACATATACACTAGCAACCAACCACAAACCAAAAGGATGCTGAAGCATTGTTTGTACAGGCGACTAAAATGAGACACCTCACAGTCTCTAGTTATACTTGCTGTTTTTTTAACCTTTAAACTAAAATATGATAAAAAGACTACTACAAATTTGTAGAGAGTAGTACTAATCATTCTTTTAAGTAAGTAAGTAATTAATTAATTAAAGTAAGTAATTGAAGTAAAACTTACTTGTTCAGGTACAATATTATATTCATGAAATTATTTTGCACTAACTTAACACTATTACTATTACTGAAATCGTAATATAAACAGTTAAGGTATTACCCTCACATAACAGAATCTAGAATCTAGATTTAGTATATAATATAATAGTGTCACATCACATCATATTATCAACGAACAATTATTTAAATTCATTGCTAGTCACATGCTTCTCCACATTTATTAGTTTTTCTATCACACAATATATAGATGATAAGCTCATTTATGTATTGCCATGTGGTAGTTGCTTTACATGTGACTTTAATGAACCCAAAATCACATTTAGCACCATTGGTTTTGTACTTAGTGCAAGTAATACTTTTATTACTTGCACTTAGAAAATGCCAGAAAAATCAAATATATAATAATGACAGGCAATTCTACTCTATAATGAATGGCAGTATCACCATCTAGGCCAAGACAGATTCTCATTCAGTTTGGCAATGGAATCCAAAATCAATGATGTAAGATATCTGGTACTACATTGTCAATCTGCCTGCCAAGTGGGTTGATTATAGCAAATCTTCCATATGGTGGGACTCATGTCTAATGCCTGCCACATACATACATAATTCTGTTTTGGGATTCCAAACGCAGCAAGTCCATATAAGCAGTTTAGTACAGGTAGTTTTTGGTACAGAATTTTGCGGGCAAAATGGGATTTTGTAATTCTGTTCATTATTTTTCAAACGTAATTCCACACAAGCTAATAATGAGAAAGAATATACAGTTTTTTTATATAGGATAGGGTGACAAACGAGCACACAGTCCACCTGATGGTAAGTGGTTACTGCGGCCCATAGAGATCTACATCTATCCTCGATTACAAATCAAAATGCAGATACGTTGTCACCCATGAGGACCAAGATGGAATGTCTCGTTTCCAGTAAAAAGGGTCTCCAGTTCTCTACACTCACCATACGAAACACAGCAGCATTAAGCTACTATTTCACGCTGGTATTCTGTGATAGCATGGTCCTTTCCTGGTTGAGCCGAACCATTCGTGCTACAATTATACTACTAATATAACTGCAGCATGGCTCTACCACTCTAGTTACATAAAATTTTAACAATTATAAACATAAAGGGGAATAATATAAAAAAATTGTCTCCATTGTCTACCTCAACTACATGGACAATGGAGAAAGAGTTTAAGAAGAATAATAAGTAACAACTATTTAAAAATTATAATGTAAGCAATACCTGCATGAGTAGTAACACACCAATTTTTCATCTTTTGGCATTGCAAATCTTTGGTGAAATTCATAGTCCACATTTTTGTATGTATCTTCATCTGACAATAAATAAAAACTATTAGAACATCATTTGCATCTTATGTGACAATACTTAATCTCAGTGTAAGGTTTTTTTAAAAACATACCTTCCGTTAAAGTTTCCTGTTCAGTAGCTATAATTGAATTGATTTTACAACATACAAATTCTGTAATTTCTTCCTCATTATCAAATGAATGTAACGTTGGGCTTACATTTTCAAATAACCACTGCCAGTCTTGCCTAATCTCTTGTTCAGTCAAAGCTGTTGCTATTACTGTTGGTATATATTTAACAAAAAATGCTGAATTTTAATAGACATTTACTAACTATAGTTTTTTCAAAATTTGAGTCAATTATTACAATACATATTGTTGCTTTACATTTAAAATACAAATGTAAAAAGGTCTACATAAAAGAAATCAAACTTTTATCCAAATTTATTTTGGCAATAATATTCAATTTAAAATTAATATAACTAAGCAACCAATATTAAAGTTTCTATTACTTACCATAATATATTTCAGAGTTAGGAGTTTGATGTAATATTCTGTATGGAGCTGGTTTCGAGTCCCAAACACTATCTAATGTGCCTACTAGAAGAGAAGAAAGACCTTTCGATTTGCCATGTCCTTTTCTCCTTTGAAGAACAAAGTATAAAGTTGTCTCATCACTGTCCCTGTTCCAAAAATTAAAATGAGAATAAAAACATAATGAACTTTATAGACAAAAGATATGCAAGTGTTTTAAACGTAAGTAAATTACCACAGTGCAGTTTTTATGAACACCTCTTGAGGTTTAACCCACATATTAATTTTTATTTAAAAAAAAACACTAATTAATAAACTCATGCACCAATGTGTACGGTATTTTTCATCTTCAAACAATATTTACAACGATCTAGCAAAACAACCACAGAAAACAACTGCAAAAGAGCAAAGGGCGAGTCACTTTGACATTTGACAGTGACACTGACATTCATTGGGTAATGTTCCAAAATAGAATAGCCTAATATATATACATGCGTAAGCATCATAGTAGTTTGTGATATATGAATTATAGTTTGTGATTAGGGCCCTGAATGAAGGTTGGGTGTCGCCCCTAATTAGGAATATCAATTATTACATTTCCCTGATTTTACGCCCTTACTTCAGTGTTGCCGTATCAAGAAAAAAAGATGCACTAATACCCCTATTACACTACCCTGAATCAGGGTGCCTACGCTCTGATTCAGGATGGTGTAATAAGAGAAAGGGAGTAAGGGTCCTTAATTAGGGCTTCAAAGTGGACCCTGTCTGCAGTGCCCTTCCACCATGCAGTGTAACACTAAGGGAGTTAGGGCACTTATTCGATGCGCGTCTAGGGTTGCAAACGAATCATCAATTCTTTCAAACATCGATATATCGTTCATAAACATGGTTCTTCATGAGCTATGTTTTATGAACGATGTTTTGCCGTTAAAGTTTACGAAATAAACTATTCAAAGGTATAAAATTCCGTATGTTAAAAGTTGCAAACGATGATTATCACGAATTTTATGTTTCCAAAAAATAAATATTCGAAACAAAATATGTCAAAGTTAGATAACGTCTAAATTTTTAAAGTTTGAAGGTTTACGAGTATTTAGCAGAAATACCTCAATCCCGAAAATTTTAACTACGAATCAACAAACAGGCGAATGGTCTTTCAGCCGAAAATAAATAAACTTGAACTTCAGAAGTACAATTGTCTTCTATTGGTAATTCCATTTTTGATGTAAAATTGTAGTTATTTTTATTGTGATAATTATTTAAGGTAAGTTTACACATGTTAATTAAAGTCACTTAACGCGTTAGCAATATCATGTATTTTATTAACTGCATAAAATATCACAAATCTAAACAAGGTTAGGGATATCCATAATAATAACAATGTACATTTTACATACACACAGCAAGGTATAGCAATAATTATTATTACTCACAATTTATGTGTACGTATTCTCTACTCAACAGTTTTAGAAAGACCGCCGCTCAAGCCGACGACATCTGTCTGTTATAGGCTTTTAATTTAACAGTGCTAAACTACAGATGGCGTTGCTTGTGTGGTTTCCGTTACAAGTTTTAAAAAAATTGGATATTAAGCTGTAAGTTTTCACATTATAAAGCATTATTTATATTACTTATAAATATCTTAAACAGTTTTACATTCTAGTTATAAATATAAGCAAAAATAAATAACTAGACATAATCTAAATCATTAATGTACCCGCAGACTTTATAGTATGAAAATAATTAATTACCCACCATGTTAGTTACAACAATATAAATTATTAAAATACGCTTACACAAATATTGAAAATGGATTGAAGTTGTTTTATTAATTTTCTTATTAATAACTATATTGTTTAAGCTTTAACTTAATGAATAACTTAAGTACAGTCTTATATATATATAAGTTAATATTTATTTTGTAATGGAAATTATTTTATTGGCTTACGATACTTCGTATTTCGTTACAATCATTTTTCTGAAATATTGATTTTTATGGATGAACGGTTATTCACCTGTTTGTATTTTAGTATAGTTTCGTAGATGTAGGTATTCAGAAAATGCGATAATACTAAAGGTAACATACGGAACTACCATAAAAAATTAACGCACCACGTCATAAGAAATAAAACTAAAGCAGAAGACGAGTTTCATATATTACATGTCGGATATCATGAAAGGGTTATTTCCCGAGATTCATAGCCTCGATAACATCTATTTGCCTATCGTGGTTACTTCGGTATCCCGTGAGCGGTTATTTTCAGAGGCTGGATATACAATCACACAGGAGAGAAACAACTTACTAGGTACCAGGTGTCAAAATTATTATTTTAAAATTCAATTCGAAAGAAATAAACGTAATAGTAGAAAAAAATGAATTCTTGTTTTCTGATAATTATTCGATAAAATTAAATGTGTAAAAATAAATAGTGTAAAACTTCCTAAAATAACATAAATATAATGTTTGATTATTATACTACTTTCTTTCATTTCTGTTTATAAAGATTATTTATTCCATATGTATGTTTTATAAAAAACATCGAAAAATCGATATATCGTACATAAGCTTTGATGTTTTTAATGAGCGATGTTGCATCCTATAGATGTGCTTACTTGGAACAATTACGACTCGAGTTAACTCAAGTTCAAATTCACACAACTCTAACTAAATTCGAGTTACGCAACTAGAGTTGGACTAAAAACAGTAAACGATTTGTTACAATTACTTTAAAAATATCGATTCAATAAATATATACACTTTTTTTACTTGTTACTATCCATCCTTTTGACTGAGTAAGGGCGTAAAATCAGGGTAGTGTAATAACTGACGTCTCTAACTAGGAGCCACGCCCAACCTTCATTTAGGGCCCTGATTCAGGGTGATATAATGGGGGCAAAATACCTTCTGACGTTTCACATTAATCGGTCCGTAATAACTTTGCGCAACGTACTCACACGATTTAAAATAACCTTTTACGTAAATTCGAAAAATTATGAAGCTATCTATCATTACAGATTTATAGTTTTTTATCACTAATTTAAATTCGAATCTTTCAAAAAAGCAACATATAAAAAACAGTGTCAACTTTTTTGAGTAAGGCCGTAGATTTCGCCACTGTGTAACATAGACACTTCTATGTTACGCTAACATAAAAATAACTCAAAAGTAACACATAATTTTGAAGACTGATTTCATATCGCACTCTTTGAAGCGACATTGTATATCATATTACGGACTTGAATAAAAAATGGCCCACTGGACTGTTTAAAAACGCTAACAACTTGTAAACAGTTCAGCGATAAAAAACTAAAAAAATTGTTAGGTGTTCGGAGAAAACAGAAAAATAATTAAAACATCAACCGTTTGGAGTTTTTTAATTAAGTAATAATAAAAAATTCTTTTTAATATACTCTTTTACAAATCTCGAGTAGTAAATACGAGTATAATTAATTATTGCTTCTCGTGAACTTTTGAGCTAAAAACAAAAATCAGAGTAAATATACTAAACTTAGGTAAGTAATTGTAAAATCACAGGACAAAAGTAATACAAATTGAGGACAAAGAAAGTATGACAATTGTTGAGAAAGTTATATCTTTCTTGTCAGGAATGAGCCTGAGAGAAATATTTTAGTTAGTAAATTGAATATTTTGTATTGAAGTTAGATAATATATTCAATAATATTTTAGCCAAACCAATGTCGGTAGAGGCTGCATTAGTTTACTCAGTAGTTACCTTGTAATGTCTTATGCTTTAATGTAATTGGCGTAACATCTTGTTAAAAGTACCAAATTAATAAAGATTAAATTTTTTTTTTATATAAAATAGAGCGATACTCATCAAAATATTTCTCCCAATACTTACAATATAAGTAAGTAATTTATGTGAAGAAAATTAGATCGCGATCTTCTTCCAGGTAATATTCCTTAGAAGCTTCTTCCTTTTGTACCAAATTTACTTTCTTAACGATAGAATTGTTGGTTAAAATAATATCGATATCTAATTTTCTTGGGAATGTAAACTTCAAAGAATTAAACGATTCTTTGATAGCTTTCAAAAATTTTACTTGATAGTAATTTAATCCGTCCTTGAATTCTATACTCTCAGCAAATCCTATATAATGTTTCCATGTTTTTCTTAGATAATATCTAACTATAATTGTGTCATTTATGTTAAAAATAAATTCAGTCTGCATATTTTCTCCACTTTCGTCTTCTCTTTCTTGATTCTGCATAATTTCTCTAATCTCATCTTCTTCTCTTTCTTCAATCTGAATATTTTCACCAGTCTCATCTTCTTCTGCATGTTTCCTTTTCTCTATTTCTTCTTTTTGAGCTATATTCAATTTTTTGTTGCCACTTTTATTCTCCAAAACATTCTTCATTTCGTTTTTTGTAAAATCAGTTTCATTATTTTCTCTATTTTCAGTATTATTTGTATCATTGTATGTACTTTTTAATTCAGTCATTGTGCCTCTTTTTCCAAATATATTGCTCTCTCCTAAGTCATAACTAGCAATGTTTTCCGGAGCGTTCCTAATTTGAGACAGAATTATCACATAATTATTTTCAGGAATATGTTGTTTCACCACATTTACATTTACGTGGGTCGCATTCTTGTTTCTGTATCCAACTTTACTTTTATCTTCTGCTTTATTTATCTCTTCCTTGGCTCTTTTCCTGTCTACTTTGGCTTTATTTTTGTCTTCTTTGGTTTTAGTTTCACTTCCTTTAGATTCCATCTCTTTTTTAATTATATTTGCGTCATTGCTTTGGTCATTATTTTCACTTTTTGCTTTCATGATGATCTTTTTTTATTGGGATCTATCCTTTGCTTTAAAAATCCAGTTTTTTCATCCAAATGGAACGTATTTGCTTGTTCTGCGTTATCTTCTTTTCTTTCAATGAGGTCGTCATCAACATTATCCAAATTGTCTTCATCATTATCTAAAGTATCTTCTTCCATATAACATGTTACGTCACTATCAGCATACTCAATACCCATGTCCGTACTATTTTCGGACGATGAAATTACTTTTCGATATGTTCTTGTCCTTTTTTCCACGATAGTCCACGTTTTCTTTTTCACTTGTCTTCCGTTTTTTGCCTTTAGTCTGTGTTTTGCTCGTGTCTGGTCCAGTTGTAATTCATGTATCATAAGAATAACATCCCACATACCGTTTAAATCATTGCAAAAACAACTTAGGTTTCTGTATTTAACTTTTAAAACGCTGTTTGTCATTAATTTGTGGATTTTCATCGTTCCTGGTATAGGGAGTATGTTAATATCTAATGGTTTAATATTATCCATTCGAATGAAAAATATTTTAATTTCAGTATCCGACATGTTCAGTATATTAAAAGCAGTTTCAGTATTGGGAATATCAATTCCTTGGGCTATTTTCGTTACGTTTGATGGCCCCACCAATGCCATCTGCTGCTCCTTTTCCATGGGCCGATTCAAAGAAGGACCAAGTTCCGCAAATTTCAAATACATATTCGTAAATATTTTTGCTAAAAAGATAAAAGTTCTTTTTTTGCCGATATTGAGTAGTCGGTCCGTTAAAAAAAAAAGTAAGATGCTTACGTTTGGGTAACCCGCTTTAATATATTTAAGTATGGGGTCTAGGTGTTCATTGTTGGTAGGCTTCTGGACAGTGTTCATTGTTGGGAGATATCGAACAGAAAGATATGGGGCTTTCATTAGTTACGTATAAAACACCTGCTACGTAAAAAAGTTACGTAAAAAAGTTTAAATAACTATTGCCATCTAAATTTCCTTGTAACTCAAAGGGCCCAATTACTTTTCCATTTAATATGCCGGCCCATAGGTTAACCTTGAATTGATATTGTCTTGTCTCATCAAGTGTGGATTTTCATTTTCATTTTCAGAAACAGAATAGAAACTTTTTTATTCAATGTAGATTATAAGAATGCTTATTGAAAGTCACTTTTTTCATTTACCACTGGTTCGCAAAAAAAAACCTCTACTTACTCCAAATATGTAGGTTGTGAAGATTTAAATACCCATCTTTCTTGCATGTTGTTTCATCCGACCATAGAATTTTGTCTAGGAATTGGGGATCTTCACTGTGCCTTTGCAGCATCACACGACAAAATGTGACTCGTAGCGGATAGTCCCGCGGTAATAACGTCTGCACACGCCTGTAGTAATATGGGTGAAGCTTGTGACGTTTTAATATTCGATGAACAGAACTTTTCGGGATTCCTGTAGCTTCTTCTGTGCGGTACGCGGTGCGCAGTAACTTTGTTTACTGTGCACCGCGTATTTACTGAGCAAAGCGTACTGAACTGACTTGTTGAGAATAATAACAGCTTCTCTATCTGCCCTGTTGTTGTCTCTTTTTAACGTAAATATCTCTATCTATCTATCTCTCTCTAACATCTAAGGTATGTATGCCTCATTCAAATTCCTAGAAATTGTAACAAGAACCCATTTTGGGCATGAAGTAAAAGTGATTATTGACAATTACAATTTAAGGAATTTGGCCCCTGTTTAGGAATAATAGGCCCATATTTTTATAATGTTTTCCTAGAGTATTATACCATTTTGGAATGTAGGTTAGTTGCGTCAATTTTTAAAAAAACTTGACATACTAGTGTTCATACTTTTTTTTACACCACGATAAGTTGGTTAAAAGTAAAAGTCTTCAAAAAATTTAGGGAATAAAATAAGTTTCATTAATTTTCGTGATAAAACAAGAGTTATTCTGGATTTTTTAAGAATTGTGTAGGTAGCAGTGCTATTCAGGTTGCCTATAAAAAAAGGAAACAAATATTAAAAAAAAATTGTGGTCATGGTAGTGAAAAATATCATAAACGGTCTCAATTTCTGAAGAATTTCATTTTTTTATATAACTTAAAATATAATTGGGATATATATTTTTTTCTTTTTTTTCCCCGAATAGTCCGGGGCAGGTCTATCCGGTGTTGGCTTATCGTTGAATTTTGGGACATGTTGTATAAATAAAATATATATATATATATATATATATTAGGAAAAAAGCGTGTCTTTCAGCGACTTTATATTAGATTAGGCTAGGTAAGAGACTAGGTAAGAGGGTAATCACCCTCTTACCTAGTACCGGTATAAATAAAGGCGGTAAGGCATTTCATCTCAGTTCGTAGAGGTGACAACTTACGACTTAGGTGCAAGTTTCCTTGGGCTGCAATAGCCACTTATCATCTTCAGGTGAACCGTAAAGACGTTGGATACTTTTCAGTTTTTATAAGCGTAATTTAGTGATGAAACTAATTCTCTTAATTTTTAGTTGTAAGATTCTTATCAATAACATTTAAAAAGAATCATTTTGAGCACTCTTATCTACGGTTCTGAGTAAACGTAGTGATTATATACTCTTTGGTTCTAAGGGGCCCTTCTGGTAACATTTGAGGAGATTTGGCGGGAACTTGGCCGTCGACGGACTGTCGCTTGAATAATGGTTTGAAGTGGATTTTAATTCGTATCTAATTATGTGTGAGTGTGAGAAAACGACGAAACAAGTGCTTTGATGTTGATATAAACCTAAAGTTAATTTGATCGCTTGGGCGCCTTATGAACAATATTTAAAAAATATTTAGAAAATAGAAATATTGTTGTTCGTGTAAACGGGGTGGATAGTAGGATAGAAAAAGTAAAATATGGTGTATCGACTGGCTCTGTGTTTGGCCCGATCGGATGTATAATGCACGTCAACAGCATGATAAATGTTATCAAGAATTGTAGAATATAAATGTACGCTGACGATACCTGCCTCGTGTATAGTGGATAAAATAGTAGCCAGATACAGTTAAAAGTGTAGCAGGATTTAAACAAATTAATAAAGTGGTCCCACGACAATGGTATTATCATAAACTTGAATAAAACAAAATTTATGGTAATATCATCACCCTATAACCATTAAACCGCAGATATAGCTCTTATGGGTCCCACTTACGATTCCGGTCGAACTCTCTCTGCCGCTACGAAAAGCTACAATGTGTAACAAACTATAAATATTTAGGATTGGTTATTGATAATCGTTTCTCATGGGACTTGCATTGGCAGGCAGTATTAGGTAAACTAAATCATATAAAATATGTTGTGAACCGAGGAATCATGTATAGGCTGTATTATGCCCTAGCAGACGCAACGATCGGATATGGCTTGGGTGCATATGGACTTACATTCCCAACATATTGTTACGAGCTAAGGGTTCGTGACAATAAAAACTGTCGATTGAATTACCAAAATTGACACTTTAATTACTGAACACCAATTAAAACTTAAATCACACTAATAATTATTTACACTTAACACTTCAGTTCACTTTATGCCCAGATCACGGCTTTCAACGGCTTTAAATAGGCCTTTTTCACCGAAACATCTAGAATATTCCAGAAAATACCGGCCCCGACCGACCAGGTGCTGAAAGTTCGAGGGTGGGGCTTTCTAGAAAGCTTAGTTCTTCCATTCGATACTAGACGGCGCTGTTCGGGAAAGTTCAGGAATGGCATTTTCTAGAAAGTCCTCCTCGCTCTGTTTCCCAAAGTTCACTAGAGTGCTATTACAAGGTATCAGACGTCAACGTAGACGCGCAACACTGCCCCCTCCTAAGACATGCTCGTTCCGAGCATTATCGGCCCCATAATAACGCGCCAGGTGATCCATATGGACGATCTTAGGAGTACCTCTTGCACCTTTCTGAAACGGCACTGCAACGACAAAGAGTGTCCTCTCCCTTAGTGCACCAACATTGTATAATTTCAATGCACCTCTACTACGAGTCTGAGGTCTCTTCACAGCCGCATAACTTGTACATTTCCGACACCAATCCTCGACATTGACACGATAATGCACCCAGTAAAACCGTTCTCGGATCTTCAGTAGAGTTCGCTTAACTCCCAGATGGGCTCCTGAACAACCATAATGGTACAGCTGTAGAACATCCGGTACTTTAGCTTTAGGGACTACCATTTGTAAACGACAGCTCCGACCGTTTTCCCATTTACGGCACAGGACTCCATCCTGAATGAGAAAGTTGTCGCATTGGGCCTAATAGGTTTTCGTGGTCGAACTCATCGCTGAAACGCCGCTCCACTTGGGCTTCAGGGCACTGGTCGTCCGAATCTTCCTGCTGTGCATGTCGTAGGCTGTCCTTCCATTCGTTGCTGACGTGGTCTCTCCTGAGAATCCTCACAGATACCACTTACTTACCCCCTTGCCTAGTACTATTCTTGCAATCATCAGCATGTGTGTTGTCATGCCATTGTCAAGTGCTGTTAATCGAACTACCCTTTCGAGATCGATCACCTTCCCTTTTTACAGATCGCTTAGGACAGCAGGGTCGAAGATGGCCGCTTTTCCCACAGCCGTAGAACCATGGGCTGTAACTTTTATTGTGGTCGCGAACTGTACTGGTGCTGCAACCTCCCTAACGTCAGGAGTACGATGATCCTGCCGCTGCTGGGCGGTGCCCTTAGCCACACTACCCCCCGAGATCGATCACCTTCCTTTCCTACAGTTCGCTTAGGGCAGCTGGATCGAAGGTGCCCCCTTTCTCCACAGCCATAGCACCTAGGGCTGTGTCCTTTACCGCGGTCGTGAACTTTAGCTGCTGCAACCTCCCTGACGCGATGGGAATGATGGTCCCGCCACACGGCTTCCACCTCAAGTGCATGGGCCAAGGCGTCCTTAAGCGTCTCGTGATGCCCGAGTCTCACAGCAGCTATGACTTCAAGG